TATGATAAGTAACCTTTAATGATGTGTTATGAAGGATTTGGATGTGATGGTGTGTCTAGATCTGGGATGTTTATACTATATGTCAATGCATGTATGAAAATTTAGTTGAAAGTATGATGAGTAAATATTATCTGGTAGTTGAAAATTTCATAAGTGTGATAAAAGGTTAATGATACTGATCTAAATGACTTGATGATTTAAACTGTATGGGAATGCTATAAGTAATATGGACTTAATCTGGAAGTACTTTATTAAGAATGATCTTGTGGTTAGATAATAGGAGAAGTATGGAATAAGTACAAAGTGCTGAATGAATCTAGTGTAAATAGTTATAGAGATACACCGAGGGTATAGAGACCGAATACGATGAGAAATATGGGAATAACATAGGGTGATGAGCGATATTCGTTATATATATACACTCTTTCTGAAAGCGAGTGCATCACATGACCTCACACTCATTTTCTAACAAGACTCCTAACTATACATTTGCTGAGGGGCCCGTTATTGTATGGTTGTATCTATGTATATGGGCTAACCAACAACTATTTACCTAGTTATGTAAAACCTCAAGAAGTGTTAGAAGCATCTTATATCTGTAATCATAGTGCACTGGGAGGGCATATTTGAAAAAGAGAAATGTGATGGGTTGTGATGAAAAGTATATCTGATTGTATGAAATTTTCTGATATATTATTTTGGCAATTAATATGATTGTAATGAAATTGTATTATGTTTAATGATAAGATAGATGCTCATTCTTACTAAACATTCCAGGTAACAAAGATGACGACACTCAAAAAACAAACTAGACTAATAGATAGTTACGTAAATTGTAGAATAAATTACGTATTTAATGAATATTAATGACACTACTATTTTAAGTTTGTTGTAGTTTATGTTCATGTACCTAGTCATATGTATACCTTAGAGATGGACTTGTATGATAGTATTTCCTTATATTTTCTTGTAAAAAATAGGATCTACCATATTCTCTATATTTATATTTATAGAGGTCAAGATTGATTTTAGTGATATCTACCTCGAAAATGACAAGGATCTAGATTCCGAGGAGCTAGCAAAGATAGAGGGATGACATAATAACGATTAATTTTTTATCCTTAGTTTTGGATATGGGTTATAACTGCTCTTAGGACTTAATTTGTTTTGATTATGTAATTATTTATTCTAAGTCTTATAACTTTTTAATTAACAATTTGTAAATTATTATACTGTTTATATGTAAATGAAAAATTTAGTACTTGTATGTTCTCTAACTGTTTTAGTATAATATAATTATTTAGTTACAGTTTTTTTTGTCTCATTTCATCATGCAAGAAAATTTTTTTTATGGAGTTATTTAAGTTTTAATATCCTCTCAAATGTATATATATATATAATATTTTTTAATAAAATTTTAATTATTACATAACATAATATTTTTTAATAATTTAATAGAGTCAAAGATCCCCCATTTTAATTTTTAACAAGAAAAATTTGAAAGTCATTGATGGCATTTTTTTGGATTGCTTTTTTACTTTCTTCTAAATTCTCGTTAATGACAATTTTTAAAAGTAAACAAATATTACTTTATGCATTTAAAATCGTGAAGGATGAATTTTAATTATAACTAATTATCTAATAATTAAAATTGTTATTATCATTTTTAAAAGAATCATATTTATGTATGGGAAAAAAACATATTTTGGTGAATTTAAAATAAAAAATCATAATAAAAAAAGGCCGTCAGTATATGATTAAATTTTATTGAATAAATAGTTATCAAATATGCCCAATAAAATCTAGTTATAAAGAAGGATCAGCAAAGAAACCTCGAGATCCTCGTCATTTCAAATTACAAAAACAGCAAATTTAATATTTTAAAAAGGGCTTAAATTAAAATTAAAAAAAGCAAATGATCTATAAGATTGATTTACCTGATTGTGACTTCAAAAGGCTTCCAACGTAACAAAGTCAACAAGATGAAGTGATTTTTTTCTGCCGCCTTTCTTCTTCTCGTCAAAGTAGTAATCAAATCTACCTCATCATCATCACCATAATTAAAATTATCATTTGCCCACGGTTGCTTCATACTATCAAAAATTCAATAAAAATTAAAGATATATTATATTATAATTTTTTAATTTGATAAAAAAAGTATTACTTTTATTGTCAATATTAAATAGTTTATAATATTGAATACAAATAAATTAAAGATATAAATTCTTAAAAAATAATTAATATAAAATAAAACAATATAATGAGAAAAAAATTTCTCTTAAAGAGAATTTTTATTTTAAAAATAACTCTCAAATTTCTTTTTAAATAATAAGAACTCAAATTTAAGATAAAGATAGAATGAAGGTAGATAGGTCATGAACTATTTACATCATACATTAAGATTTCAACCGCCAACTGCATAACCGTCTTATTCATTATAAGGATTATCCTTTTATCACTTTCATTTAGTTAGCATGGTGCATGCGGGAGTGCGGAGAACCAACGGTATGAAATTTTCATGGTTCTTTGTATTAATGGTCGTAAATAACTTGTTAAAAGTTCTAACTCAAGGAGATGAGGGCGATTAATCAACTTCTTTCCTTTCTTTAACATGAAATCCAATAAAAGCTTCAAAATATGACCAAGTGAAAACTCCCTCTTCTAAACCACCATCCATTACTTGTTCTACAAGTAAAGCAAAGTACACGGCATGAGATTCAATTCAATGGGACACATAAATGGTTATGTAACTGCCAAACTTTTTAAGAGGTTCGATAATTGCTGCGTCAAAAAGACCAATCTTAGAATTGCAGGAATGGGGATTGGAGTCATTAGACTTTGTTTAGAACATCTTATCTGAATCTTAAAACCTACCTAATTGAATAAAAATTCAACAAACGTTAACAATATAATTAAGTTAGGAAAAATCTTCACTTTAGTCATAAAAGTAAACAATGCAATTAATCTTTAAAATAATTATTCCCTAAAATTAATTTCTTCACGATTCAAAATAACCACCGTATTATATATCTCTTAATATTTTATTAACAAATTAATTCTTACAAAAAAACTAATGTACTAAAAAATACTTAAATATTAATTGATAACATCTTAAATCTTTGAAAGTTTAATTTTATTTTATTTTTTATAGGCAAAACATATATTATTAGAGATAGTTCAAGGGGAACTCAAAACTCATATACACAGAAAAAAAAAATTACTAACTCAGAAAAATAAAAAACAAAAATATACTTATAAAAAGCTAAGACGGATGCAATTTCGTGGGTTCAAATACCAATTAGCTAACAAAATAGCTTCTCCCTTACTAACAAGTGATAGTCATTTCCAGGACCTCAGAATAATAGAATCTAGAACTTCCCTCTCATCCAAAACACCATTGGAAAATACAATTTTATTTTTATGTAACTATAAAGACCACACTGTACTTACCCAAACAATTAATAAGCATATCCCTTCTCTTTTACTACAGCCAACACCAACTCAAGAAAGCAAGTGAGTCGATATATTTGAAGGCAAAACCAGTGAGAATTCAAGTCAACGTGCAGTAAAGTACCAGATTTGAGATGAAACTGAACACGTTAAAAATAAATAAGTTGAAAGTTCCTCCAAACTATGACAGATGCAACAAGTTATATCATCAATTTGAACACCTCGATCAATCAGCAAACCCTTACAAAGAAGTGCATTCAGCAACAATTGCCAAGAAAATACCAGACACTTAAGAGGGACCTTTCCTCTCCATAGCCTTTGCAAGGCATCTGTCGTATACTGATCTACACTATTAGGACCACCAAAAAGTTTAAATAGCCAAGAATCTATCCTCCATACCCATTTATCTTCTTGTAGTAACTTAATAGAAACTCCATCCACAAGCTCCAACAAAAGATTAAAGTTTGAGATCTCATGTTGAAAGAGTCCTCTTCGCCAACTAACATCCCAAACCCACCTAGTGTCATCATGAAAATCATTCTTCAATACACATGATTCAGCATTTCTCGCCACTGCAAACAATCGCGGAAATGCTTCACACAATCGCACCCCGCTTACCCACTTATCTCTCTAAAAAAGAGTGTGTAAACCTGCACCCACACTCCTATCAAACTTCTCATCCAGCCAAGAATTCCCTTGATGAATAACCTCCATCAAATCACGCCACCACAAAGAACATTTGTTGTGGACTGATTGATGCTGAATAGAAGAAGCTAATCTTCCATACCTAGATTCCAACACCTGCACCCACAATGAACTAGAACAATTAACACCTCACCACAACTATTTACTAAGAAGCCCCCAGTTAAACCACTGTACATTCCTAATGCCCAAGCCACCATTCTTCCGCGGTCTACATACCGTTTCCCATTTCACCCATGAAATTTTAGATTCATCCTTAACACCCTTCCATAAAAAATTTCGTTGGATAGTGACAATCTCCTTTATCACCGACTTCGGCACCCTAAAAAAGGATAACGAGTGTAATGATATAGAATTAAGAACTGCATTAATAAAAGTCACCCTGCCTCCAATCGATAAATACCTATGCTTCCATGACGCTAATATCTTTTTAAGGGCATCTAACACACCCTTCCATGCACTAGGCTTTCTCAGGTTAACACCTAACTGTAACACGAGATACTTTAATAGGAAACTACCAATCTTACAATGGAGGAACTCCGCAGCCAAGTTTTCAAAGTCATCACCAGTATTAATCCGCAATACACAACTTTTATGAAAGTTAATCCCTATCTCACCCGAGTTTTTGGGCTATAAGACTCTCCCTATTCTTCCTAGCCTTCCAAATATCCCCCACTAATATCTGTTGACGCTCCTTCTCCACATTGAAAAGTTTCATTACAGAATTTTTATCATCAATCAAACTCAACTCAGTTGTCAAATCAGAGATCACCTTATCAACATTTCCAAATACCTCAATATTCCATTTTTCAATGCATCTTAACACTCCTCAACCTCTGGCTAGCTCTCTAGGCAGCCCATGGAAGGGTAATCTCTCTTTTCCATGCTTCCTCCACCACTTCCACAACTCCTTTATGAGTCAGCCAACAATTGTTAAATCGAAACGGCTTTGGACCCCAGTTAACCACTTTGTGCTTAAGAATAATGGGACAATGATCAGATACATCTCTGCTCAGAACCTGAATGAAACCATCTCCCCAATAATCAAGCCAGGAACTAGAAACAAGGACTCGATCGAGTCTGCTCATTATAGAAGCATCCCCTTTTATCCACGTAAATTTTTTACCCACAAGTGGAAGATCCACAAGTTCCATTTCCTGAATGAAAGAATTTAAGCCATCCATTTCAGAGACACCATGGTTTGTCTGACAACCCTTACTCTCTTTCACCTGTCTCACAGCATTGAAGTCACCCAATATACACCACATAAATTTGCCAAAACCCTTTCTTGTCATAAGCAAATCATCCCATAACTTTCTTTTCTCACTTAGTCTACACAATGCATAGACATTCACCACAACACATAGGTTTCCAATGGTCAATACCTGCAAGCAAACACCCAGGAATCCAGTACCAAAAAAGGAGAAAAGTATTTTACCTTTGGAAGTATCCCAAAGTGAAACCATACCCCCACTTCTGCCAATGGAGGGCAAGGCACACCAATCAAAATCCACAGAACCCCACAGACGCGCACATAAGTTACTATTACATGTCTCAAGTTTTGTTTCCTGAATCTCCAAGAATTTCAGACCTTCAGAGCGAACAATCTCACACATCTTCTTTTGCTTTACCTCGCTCCCCAGTCCTCGACAATTAAATGAGTCAATCTTCATTTAGAATCAAAGCGAACCCCATGTTCTTTCGCAATTGTTCTATCACGTACCTCCATCTCAATCAATCAATTATCCCATCGTTCCCATGTACAACCTAAACCAACCTTCTTGCCAATGTCTAGTAACCTCGACACCATTGCCTCATCATCACAATCTGTAGCAGTCATTCGCTCCCCCACCTCCACTGAAAGATTGGAAGGATGCGAGTTGTAGGAGCTCTTAGAAGCATTAGCTGAGACTTCATCAACTAGCGATACCTGTCTACTAAGTTGCGATGGCATTGACGCTTCTTTACTGTGATTCCTAAGGTTGTTTTGAGGGGGTTCTATGGAAATTACGCTTTGATGCCTCTTCCCTCCTTCATTACCTAGACTACCTTTCATAGAGCGTGCCCTCTGAAGGGATTAGTGCACATTGACCCTCTCTTTCTCAATTCTGGATTGAAGGGGGTCGATTTGCGCTGTCCCAATTGTCTTCATATCTCGTGATTCTGAATTTTTTCAAATCAATGCATCTAATTTAAACGGGTCGGATAAACTCAACCCATCTCTTGCTATTGGGACTCCCCTCTCCACATTTTCAAAAGGCTCATTCACAGCATCACAGATAGCCACCGTCAAACCCATAACATCCACACCACCAACCCCCAAACCCCCATCCACCAAGCACCCTTTTGCTGACACTTCACCCCTAATCATAGAATCAACCAGACGACCCTTACTTCCAATATCACCTTGCAGCACACCCTCTTCCTCACTAGAATAGTTATTCAACGCTTCCAACTTCATTGTACCAACCTCAGATAAGTCATTGCCGTCCTCAGAAGAGTTAGCCACGCCTTCCTCTATTACGGCTACTACATCACAGGCATACTCTTCAAACATGGCTATTGAGTAAAAACGATCATTGACTTTCACTGTAATGTTTTGCTTGATAAGCTCAGCAATGGTAGTACCTAATTGTATCCTCTCATAATCCAATCGTCGCCTTTCTGCCGTGACTTGGTCTATTTGGATAAAATCACCAAGTGAAGTGATGAATCCACTTTTTATTATATTTTTACTTGCCTTTTTTATGCTTCTTGATAGAAAAAATGGACTTAGATAGTGAAAATAATATAGAAATCACATTTTGAATAAATATCATAGATTTATTAATTTTTGGTTAATTTGCATTTAATTACATAGATATAGATTGCAATTTTAATTATCTTGATGATTTTGCAGAATGCCCAAGTTAAATTTGAGAAATCTTGGTCCTTGGATGAAAGTTGCCCACAAAGTAGCCACTTTGAGAAGTAAAAGTAGCAACTACAGCAAGCCTGGGCATTAAAGGTCCCAAAGTAGCCACTTTGAGGAGCAAAAGTGGCAACTCCAGAAGCTCCAGGGACGCCAATTTTGAAGCATGATGCGCGTGGTCACTATGGGCTCTCAAAGTGGCTACACGCATCCAAAGTAGCTACTTTCAAGACCAAAAGTGGCAACTTCAGAAGCTCTAGGACGCTGATTTTGAAGCCTTCCTGCGCGTGGTTACTATGGGCTCTCAAAGTAGCTACGCGCACCAAAGTAGCTACTTTCAGCACAAATAGTAGCAACTCCAGAGAAGCGGCATTCCTTCCATTCTGCGCGTGGACACTTTCAAGGCCCAAAGTGGACACTTTCAAAGGCAAAAGTGGACACTTTGGTGACATGTCATCCACTATAAATAGATTTTAGGAATTAGGGTACGGGACTTTTGACACTTTACACAATTTTCTTTGCCAAATTGGGATAATTTCTTACGACATTGGAGTCTTGGGTGACAGCCAAGGGTCCTCTATAGGTTTTAATTTCCAATTTCTCTTTTGATTTTTGTTGAAGTTGCATTAATGATGTTTACGTTCTTGCATTTCTTTCTCTCTTTTGTGAAGCCCATCCACATGGAGGGCTAAACTTCCTTGTAATTCCTAGTCAATGCACATGAATCTTGAATTCTTGGGATTAATTGCAATACAAATCTTTCTTTCCTTGAATTTATTAACCCCAATCTCTGAATGAAATGGAATTTGCATGAAGGGAACATTGCTTAATGAACCCTAATTTACCTAACGAAATTCTAATTCAAAATTGCTTAATTTTGGTTAATCCTTGAGGTTGCTTAATCCTAGGGATAGAGATTGGAGCCCATTAAGATGCTTAATTTTAATTGGGATGTTAAAGTTAGTCTTCGCTTGTTAGATTAACTTAATTTAAGGAAAAGAAAGGGGATTATTGAATCATTTGGAAGAATAATGATAGAACTCATTGCTTGACTAGGGATTACTCATTTTAATTGATTGAATTTCATTAAATTTACATTTCATTCTTGATTAAAATCTGGAAATTGACAAACCTCCCCCCAATTTACTTGCTTTAAAATACATGTTTACACTTGTTCGATGTATGTTCCCAACCAAAAATTCCTTGGAGACGACCTAGGATAACACCCTAGTACTGCATTCATTTCTTTGCATATTTGATGAAGATTCACCACAATCTTTTGCATGACGAGTAGCTAAATATCGTTTCATCATGAAGAAACCAACTTACGAAAGAATAATTCACTCCAAGCATGCAAAGGGACCCCATAACAACGTACCCAAGTCACCCTCCGCGCGGCTACCATACTTGGGTGCCACTCTCGTAGATCATAGAACCATTTCTCCCACCACAATTTGTTGAGTGATACTGTATCCTCTAAATCTACCCCCGCATCAGATTCCACCAATACCATATCATCACCCATGTCGTGAGACTAATATCTAACATACCTTCTCACAGGAGAGCCCCTCGTATATTTATCAAATCCTATTTTCTATGAAGGCGACCGACCATAGCACCTCTACACTCCACAATTTGCCCCTCATCCACCTCAAACTCATGGTGAACCCAAGGTTCCTTCTTTTCCATCCACTTCTGCCCTATTGGTGTCTCAACTAGACAGGGTGCTTTAAGCTTGTCTGCATACGTATTCCCTGACGTCTTTGTAGCTCCTTTGACAAAGGAGTGTCTCATTTCACTGCCCTCTGCAGACACTTTTATACCCACAGTTTTCTCCCTTGCATGCCTCGTCAAGTTGATAGACAAGCGCATTCTGCCAATAACAATAGATTTAAGCTTAGCCTCCAAACCCTTGACATCCGCCACATACACAAAACGCACAAAACCAAAGCGACGTCCTAATTTATCACTCTTTTGAGGTATGAAAACATCAACCACCTTCCCCCACCGTTGAAATACCCACCACAAGGCTGAGATACCAGTAACAAGTGAAAAATTCATAAAAAAGTAAGACGTGGAATTGCTGAGAACTTTTCCAAGATGCCCACCAAATTTACCCCTTTCCCTAGACCTTCGTTCCACCATTGAATTCTCCAACTTCTCTTTTGCGTTTCAAATTAAGAAGAGACAAGAAAATTGGGTCCATCAATGAAAGACTCAAACCGATGAATAAAAAGCGACAACGTATTCAGATTCAAATATTCTACGATCAGCAGTGACAAAAACAATAATATTACGTTGGCAATTTGAATACCGATTATGCAATTTTAATTATCACCATTGTCACTATCTCATGCGCAGTAATAATAATAATAATAATAATAATAATAATAATATGTTTAGAACGCAACGTTAATAGTTGTCACTGTTACAAAAAATTTCGGACATAGAATTTGGTCTTGGCGGCGAGGGCTCAGAATTGCATTCCGTGCGTTCAAGTCCTGGCTGCGAGATTTTGTCTGCAACTTGCAACTAAATGTCAAAAGAAATATACGAAAGAGTGTATTTGATCCAATTCAATTCAACCCTTTTCGCAGACCAAACTGCATGAAGAAGACAATATAAATACCTAATTTGATAATGATATTTTTTGTATTTTAAAAGATTAATTTAATGATAAATTTAAATACCTAATTTAATAGCAAAATATAATGCGATCAAAATAGTCGAATCTAACTCATTCGTGTTAACTCATAATGAATTAAGTTGAATAATGAGACAACTTAACCCAACTCACCTTTGAAGTGAGCAAAAAAAAAATGCTAAGCCGAATCAACCCACCTAGCTACCAGGTGATTTAGCTAACGAGTTGGCTGACAAAATTTAAAAATAAAAAAATCCAAATATTAAAATAATATTATGAAAATAAGAATATAAAGAAACATAAATTTAAAAATAAAATATCAAAATACACTAATTTAACTTGCATAAATATCTTAATCTTTTAGTATTATTGGGTTAACAAGAAATAAAAAATAAAATAAAATAATAATTAAAATTAAAATTAACATATTAACTTAACTCTCCAACGAATTGATTTAAATACCTTATACATTTTTACGATCTAACTCACTCCAAACTTACTGCACAGCAAATTGACTTAGATTATAACTCATTTTCACAGTTCTAATAAATATTTAGAGAACTAGCGTGATAAGTATTAATTTTTTTCGATATTAACTTAGAAGTCTAATTTTAAAAATTGATATAGTAATACTTATAATTTTGGAGAAGCAAGTTAACAATTTTCTCGTTAAATAAAATAATCGAGAACCTCTCAATATATATAGCGTTGTCACAAAGGTAAGTGACGAAGTGAAACATCAATTTGACTAGTTCCAGATGACTGGGTTCTGCAAAATGAAGTGTTCTTGCCTTCTCTTGTGCCCGTTGATAATATTTTTATTCTTATTAATCTCAACTTTCAAAGTTAAATTTAAACATCTTAAGATAAATTTTTTATCAAAAATTAAATATTTATTACATTAAAAAATATAAAAGTACAATGATATTCTCCTAAGTTTTATATCTAATTGAGAAGAAAAACGAAGTCAACATATAGTATGTCCAATTTACACCTAAATATATTCCTTTTTATTGTTGGTTCCAACCTTACAACCATCTTTTGAAAAACGTACAATGAAGAAAACTTGCTGCTTTTGCAGGCATGATTGCATTACCTACCTAACATAGAGTAACTCCACCACACATAAATACAATTTGACTGAATTATGCTGCAACCCATGTGTGAATAAGCGATGAACTATAACAATAAAACAAGAACAAGATGCTCAATTAGCTACCTATTAATTATTTAAGGGACCCAAATAATTTCCTTTCTTTCACTGTATTTTCGGACCTTGCAAACAAAACATATGCATTAGTGTGCGAGCCAACGACCTGCGACTTAACAACATAAGAAACTCCGAAAGTAATGCCAAAACAAGCTGTCCTACTTGGGTTTGAAATTTGAAGCCTTCCAG